TTACATTCGTGTGCTTCATTGCATATTTGAGTCGTGTAATGTACGGGACTTCAATTATAACGATCTGTGTTTTGCTTGTGAGCAATATGATGCTGGTGAAAGTTACATGATGTGTTTGAACAACATTAAGTATGTAGAGCTACGTTATGTGAGTGACTTTATGTAGGAAAGCTACATTAAGTGTGTGAGAAACGGCCCGTCAATGAAATAGTCTACATTCATTATGTAAGCTATGTTGACTACATTTGGTATAGCCTGTGAGCTATATGTTATGCTTTTGAAGTTTACATTATTTATGTGAGCAAAGTCAGATATGTGAGCTATGTTATTTATTTTTGATACATTTTGCTTGTGAGCAATGTTACGTATGTTAATATTACTTACATTATGTCTTTACATTAAACACACATTTAGTTAGCGTTAAAGTGTGTAGATAAGCATTGTTTTAAGTGAAAGTGAAATCAAACATGGGAGTAACTTCACTTATTGTAGTTACATAATGTACTTGAAAGATAGTTCATGTATGGGAGTTATTTTATGTCTGTGAGAGTAATATAAGCTACGTATCGCAGTCTGTTACGCATCTCTGAAACACAGATGGACTTCAGCATGTGCAGAGTAAACCTTTGCTTTTGCTCTGAGACAGACTGAAGAGCTTTTTGATTTACGCTCCTTCATTAGCGTCTCCTTTCTTTTAGCTGTTAATCTGAAACTGTTGGTTTTTTACTTTCTGACAAATGAAGCAGAAACTCCACAGTTCACACAGATGTTCAACCTGAAACTAAAATGTTTGAGTTGTAAATCTGCCCGGTGAGTGTTTAGAGGACAGCCGGCGTTTAAAGAAGAGAGACACATCACTTATTAAAGTGTTGTGTGTTCAGTGTTAATATTGATTCAGACCGTGTTAAAGACAGCTGAGGGTATTTTAATGAACTTCAACACATACGTCCCCTTTGTGATGTCGCTTTCACTAGTGAAAAAATAATAATGTTTCACACATGCATTAAAAACCCTAAAAATATCCAAAAATGTTCATGGTGAGCTGCTTGTGTGAATGCAAAAAGCAAACTTTTTTATTTATCGCCTGACTTTAAGCAGAATTTTTTTCTGCAATAATGTTAATAGTATGACTTGAGAAGCAGAAAAATGTCCATCCAAAAGTCTGCAATAGATGTTTGCAGCAGTACTTAGTTTAGAAATAAATGAACATTTGTGTTTATTCAGACACTTTTGGGAAACTCTCTTGTCAGAAGCAACTTACAAACAAGGTATGATGCAACAGAAGACCCCTGAACATGTCTAGTACATTTCAGGTGTGCTTCTGTGACAACAAGTCACAAAGCTTGTAAATGCATAAAGTAACATATACATAAGTGCTTTGCAAGCATCAAATTATATCACACCTTCTTTTTTGATTCTGAAGATTTTGCAAACATTGTGTATTGAACTCTTCATTTAGATCATATGTCATATATTTACAATGACTTAAAAAAAAAAAACACTCAGTTTTATGGAAAGCTTATACTATTGTGCAGAATTTAATACATACCTCACCCAAAATTCAACCAATGACATAGTTATTGCAAATTTCATGAAATGCTCATTAATGCAGTTTTAGCAGCTGTGTCCTCTGTCAGTGTCGAGGTTTAACAGTAAGTCGGTAACACATGAGTTGATAAATGAATAAAAGCAGATAGAGCTCAGTTCATGCAAATGGAGCAGCAGCAGGGAGTATTTGAATACAGGAGACATGGTGAGAACACTCAGCTGCATCAGTGTGTCCAGAAACAGTGACGTAGCTTTTATGAGCGCAGTTTATAACACAATATAAAATACTATACTCCATTCTTGTTTTTACTAAGTGACAGCTGTACAGTGATTTTGTGCTGAATCAGTTAATTCACTTTGACTTTCTGTTTAATGCTAGATCTCCAGAACTGAATGACAACATGTTTGTGTCAGCAAACTACTAAAAACTACTAATAATGATCTCATTATTTAACTTCCTTACTGGTGGTGTTACAAAGCTCATTAGAAAATCCCTGTCCAGGACCAAAAACCTGCAGTGTCCGTGTGAGCTGGATGTTCCTGAAGCTGAAGTTAGCAGCTATGTCCTGCTTTGTAATCAATGGGTTCTAAGGACAGTGACAGGCTAAGTCAGTGGAACTCAACCTTGCCCTACTCATTCTTTCTTCCTTAAAAACAATTAGCATTTGATAATAGGGATACTAGTTATAGTTTATTAAGCAATACAAAAGTATGATGTATAATGTTTCCCACTTTTCCAATAGGTAGTGGAGTTGGTGAAGTGGGTGAGGGGCAGGAATCTTTCTCTAATTTTATTAGGGTTAGTTTATAGGCCTGACTAATTGAATCTGATTGAATCTGCTCATCTTACTTCCCTTGCTTTCTCTTCATTCTCTCATCTTCACACACACAATCACTCACGCACGCACGCAAGCACACAAATACACTTGCACACCGCAAGTGTATTTTTTACTATTCATTAGTACACTAAAGACACTCAAATAAGATTAGTTTGAAATGTTTCATTTGGTATTTCATTATCACATCAGGTGATCCATATGTGTGGAGGCTTGTTGATAATGACGAATCCCAATACTCATCATAATCTACAAGTGCAGGACAGCATTGGCAGAGAGCAGCAGCAGAAAATCCATTAAACGAAGACACGAAGAGTTCCAGTTTAAACATGAGACATTCCAGCTCAATATGTGCATTTACTGGCGGGAGGTACCAGATTAAATATACAGATTACAGATTATATACAGGACGGCCTTCTTGAGTGTCGTCAATATAGGGGAAACACTGTAAGTGGTTGATGGGACTTGAAATGAATCATTTCTGCTGACAGTGTTCCCTTTGTAAATCATTTTTGGGGTAAGCGCAGCAAGAAAAAAAAAAGTTTTTTCGACTCTTTGTCCTGCATGCTGGCAGGCCGAATCTGCGTCTGGACAGAAGCAATTTAAGGCATGTTTACATGAGAACTATCCTCTGAAAACTGAGTAGTTTTTCGTTTATCGTCTTCAAAAAAGTTTCGCTGCCAGGCGACAAAATTTGGATTACCAACACGACTGAAAACGATGCCGTACACATGCCAGACCTGTGATTGGCAGTGTGACTTTCTAATGAGACAACATGCGCACATACTCTCCCTTCAACAAAAATAAACTACATAGAATGTAAATTTAAAGAAAAAGTCGATTGGGATTGAGCAGCACAAACGGAACTCGGGAGTCCGCCATTGTTGTTGTAGTCCACCAACTCATGCATGAATATTCGCTGAACCTTAATGTAGGCCTGCGATGAGCCTACTCGTATTATGGCTATTGTCTGCAACCACAACACGCATGTGCCCAAGGTTTCCATTTTTGGAAAGAACAGTTTTTACCAGATTACACGCGACAGCGATGGTGCCTTTTTCAATGGTAAGTACTCTGGGTTTTTCAAAACATTGCATTTTCACACTACCAAAACACTAATCCAGTGTATTGAAAGATTCCCTTTAACATATTCTTGTTAACTTTAAGTGTTTGTGCTTTACAGATGGAAAGACGCGGACTCAAGACAAGTACCGGGTGGTTTACACGGACCACCAGCAGCTGGAGCTGGAGAAAGAGTTTCACTACAGCAAATACATCATCATCCGGAGGAAGGCGGAGCTCGCCACAGCGCTCGGCCTATCAGAGAGACAGGTACAATACAAACAAAATCTTAATACAAATACATGTTATTCTTTAGGAGTGTTCAAAATATTGGACTGCACTGACAATCACATGGATTTAAAGACAAAATAATTGGAGCTCCTTCCTGCTGACTGGCTCATCAAAAAGTTTAGCTTCTGTCAGCTAAACTAATAGCTGACAGAAGAATATGTTCTGTGGACTTATACCCACCTGAGGGATCTTGGATGTTTCATCACTAAGATAATTGTGTGTCTTTGTTAGAGGAAGGGGCGGGACGTCACCATATCAATACAGTTTATGGGTGAGCATGATATAGTTTAAACCAACGTCAGCATGTTAGCATGCAAATCATAGCATTTATTCTTAAGTGGGTGCTTAAGGCAATGACATTGAACCTCCAGTAAAAGATAAAAGAAACTTTATTTGGTCTAAAAGATACAAAAACACAACAAAGGTTAACATTTACTCCTGACTCTTGTATCATTTCCTTTTGTTGTCTAGAGATAAAAAGAAATGTTTCCTTCCATTCCAGGTGAAAATTTGGTTCCAGAACCGGCGGGCAAAGGAGCGCAAGATGAACAAGAAGAAGCTCCAGCAGCCGGCTTCTTCTACGACCACGCCAAACCCGCCCAACGGCACCAATGGCAGCGGAGGCGGCGGTGGGCTCCATGGAAACGGTGGAAGCGGTGTGGGCATGGTGACGAGCAGCAGTGGCAGCAACGGGCTGGTTTCACCTTCATCCCTGCCTTTGAGCATCAAAGAGGAATACTGAGGAAAAAAAGATGTTCTATTTGACGATGACGTTGGGGATGAGGACTAAAAAAAAAAAAATCTCCCCAATGAACTCAAAGACTTGTTGTCATCCTGCAGTTTGCCAACTTGAAGCTTTAACTTGGTAAAAACTTGAGAAATGTTCACCAGCAGCAGTCTTACTTCTCCCACAAGACTGTTGGTGAAAAGAAATCCTGAATGTGAACAGATGTGTGCTTGCTCGGATGTCGTCAAAAGGACGTTCAGCATCTTTGTTTGCTTATTAACAGCGAACTGACGAACTTCCTCCTCACCACCTGATCCATGACTGGGTCCAGCTTGTTTTTCACAAAGATGTCAAAATGATGTTTAAAATGATGTGCAAGATTTGTCAGATATTTCCATTTGATGGATCTGATGCAGCCACAAAAGCATGACGTTGCTATGAACATTTCTTTCCATTAAATGTTATCTAGCTGAAAGAAAATCTGCAGATACAGATAATGACCCACATTGTAAGACAGTGTGGAATATGTTTGTTTGTTTTTTAAACCTAAAGCTACTTAAAGAAGGGTTTGCAGGGGTTTATTTTTGGCTTCATGATGAATAATAAAAAAATATGTGTACCATGCTTCATTGAGAATTTTTTTCACTACCCATAAAGGACAATAACACTCAGTGACAGTAGCAGAATCACTTTATGATCTTGTGTATAATTCAGAAAACAAACTCTAAACTTGATAACTCCTGAGAACAATAAAAGCAGCAAAGCTGGACGAGCCTCTGCCTTTGGACCTTTAACAGATTTTTGTTAACTTTAAGTGTTTGTGCTTTACAGATGGAAAGACGCGGACTAAAGACAAGTACCGGGTGGTTTACACGGACCACCAGCGGCTGGAGCTGGAGAAAGAGTTTCACTACAGCAAATACATCACCATCCGGAGGAAGGCGGAGCTCGCCACAGCGCTCGGCCTATCAGAGAGACAGGTACAATACAAACAAAATCTTAATACAAATGCATGTTATTCTTTAGGAGTGTTCAAAATATTGGTCTTCACTAACAATCACATGGATTTAAAGACAAAATCATTGGAGCTCCTCCCTGCTGACTGGCTGGAGATTAAGTCTGAAACCCCGCCTCCTCCATGTTAAACAGATTGGACATGATTCAAACTATAAAGTTGAAATACACATCAAATATTTTTTCTTCCAACGTGGTTTCTTTCATTATAGGTAGTTCTTTTCATGCAGATTTATGTCCAAGTGTACATTGTTCTGAGTAGTTTAGTTTTAGTTATTTGATAAAAAAAAAGCAGATGAAACATCTGTTGACAATTGTGGCCCCTGTAATGTTCTTTACAGGCATATTATAATAGAGGAGGAAAGGCAAGTGGGAACAAAACAAAAACTAACAATACCATCACTGAACTTCCATTAGTGGGAGTCTAAACTACAAGCTGACAGAAGAATATGTTCTGTGTTTCATCACTAAGATAATTGTGTGTCTTTGTTAGAGGAAGGGGCGGGACGTCACCATATTAATACAGTTTATGGGTGAGCATGATATAGTTTAAACCAACGTCAGCATGTTAGCATGCAAATCATAGCATTTATTCTTAAGTGGGTGCTTAAGGCAATGACATTGAACCTCCAGTAAAAGATAAAAGAAACTTTATTTGGTCTAAAAGATACAAAAACACAACAAAGGTTAACATTTACTCCTGACTCTTGTATCGTTTCCTTTTGTTGTCTAGAGATAAAAAGAAATGTTTCCTTCCATTCCAGGTGAAAATTTGGTTCCAGAACCGGCGGGCAAAGGAGCGCAAGATGAACAAGAAGAAGCTCCAGCAGCCGGCTTCTTCTACGACCACGCCAAACCCGCCCAACGGCACCAACGGCACCAACGGCAGCGGAGGCGGCGGTGGGCTCCATGGAAACGGTGGAAGTGGTGTGGGCATGGTGACGAGCAGCAGTGGCAGCAACGGGCTGGTTTCACCTTCATCCCTGCCTTTGAGCATCAAAGAGGAATACTGAGGAAAAAAAGATGTTCTATTTGACGATGACGTTGGGGATGAGGACTAAAAAAAAAAAAAAATCTCCCCAATGAACTCAAAGACTTGTTGTCATCCTGCAGTTTGCCAACTTGAAGCTTTAACTTGGTAAAAAACTTGAGAAATGTTCACCAGCAGCAGTCTTACTTCTCCCACAAGACTGTTGGTGAAAAGAAATCCTGAATGTGAACAGATGTGTGCTTGCTCGGATGTCGTCAAAAGGACGTTCAGCATCTTTGTTTGCTTATTAACAGCAAACTGACGAACTTCCTCCTCACCACCTGATCCATGACTGGGTCCAGCTTGTTTTTCACAAAGATGTCAAAATGATGTTTAAAATGATGTGCAAGATTTGTCAGATATTTCCATTTGATGGAACTGATGCAGCCACAAAAGCATGACGTTGCTATGAACATTTCTTTCCATTAAATGTTATCGAGCTGAAAGAAAATCTGCAGATACAGATAATGACCCACATTGTAAGACAGTGTGGAATATGTTTGTTTGTTTTTTTTTAAACCTAAAGCTACTTAAAGAAGGGTTTGCAGGGGTTTATTTTTGGCTTCATGATGAATCAATAAAAAATATGTGTACCATGCTTCATTGAGAAATGTTTTCACTACCCATAAAGGACAATAACACTCAGTGATAGTAGCAGAATCACTTTATGATCTTGTGTATAATTCAGAAAACAAACTCTAAACTTGATAACTCCTGAGAACAATAAAAGCAGCAAAGTTGGACGAGCCTCTGCCTTTGGACTTGTTTTCTCTTCTTTACATTTTATTTTTCTCAGTTTAGTTGTTATATTAATTCACTAAATTCCTGTTTGATACGGAGCCCCTAAAGGATAATGGGCAGAAATAACATTTTAAATGAGATGTGCATGGAAAACTATATTCACACACACTGAAACAATTCTGTGAGCAAGAGAACGTTTGTCATTCTTATGAGAACGTTTTGCTTGCGCACGACAAAGTTTCTCATGACCACTAGAAAGTACTGTGTGTGCACCAGAAAGTTTCAGCCATCCCGTCTCAGAGGACGAGCCAGAAGCTATTTTGCCATCTCTGTAAGCCAGAGCCTAAAGTTTCATATGAGCACTTGCTCGTGTGTGCACACATGATAAACTTTCTCAAGAACAGAAGACATTTTCTTGTGAGCGCAGGTTAGTTGCTGGTGTGCACAAGAAACTTATTTTATTAAAAAAATCATAGGCCATTTTCTTTTATGGGCTCCACAGTTTGATGTTTTTAAGTGTATTAAAATAAAAAGTTATATTGTGAAGATGAGTGCACATTTTTTTTATTCTCAACACACATCATAAAGTTAGTTCAAATGTAAGGTACTACTTAGTTAAGTATTTATAATGTCTACATTTCAAAACATTGAACCAATTCATTTCAATATCAGAATTTGCTGATAAGACTAACATTTCTTTACGTACATGTCTTGAATGCAGGACTTTTGGATTATTTTGCCACTGATACTTTTACTATCGAGAAGAAGAATTCTTTAACCACCACTAAAAGAATTACCAAAGAAATCAAATCCTTGTCCTCCTGAGCATCCATGGGGATATTCTGACCTCACATTTTGCTCTGATTTGCCGTCTTAAATCTGATACATATTGGCTTTCAGGCTACTCCTACGCAATCAAAAGCAGATATTTGGCTGCTTATTGGGTCATTTTACCTTTAATATACTGTAATGGCTGAGGTTATAACATAACGACGGCTTTCATATGTGATGAATTGTTACATCCCCTCCAAAAGCTTTTATTGATTTGAATATAACTTTGAGGTCTGGACTGTCATTTGGATGAAACAAACACTGAGGAGTTGTCACTTAGGGTTCGAGGTCACTTTGTTTTTGACAATACAAACATTTCTCAAATAATTGTAAAATAAAGCAATTAGCAACAATTAGCAGATTATTCACAATGGAAATAAGGATACATTGCAGTTTTAGGTCCTCATTTCAAATGAACAGAGAAAGAGAAATAAAGAGTCATAAGAAAATACAGGAAAAGGAAAAAGATGGTAAAATAAAATTAGAAATACACACCTACACACACACACACACACACACACACACACACACACACACACACACACACACACACACACACACACACACACACACTCATATATTTGCTAATTGATGCAGCAGTTTAGGTGTGGTGTCCAAAGGGCAAGAAGAACGCTGGGTAAACAGAGCACAGATCCTGCTATCTGTAACAGTGTGTGTGTGTGTGTGTGTGTGTGTGTGTGTGCGGTGTGTGTGTGTGTGTGCGTGTGTGTCTATTATGTAGGTAGTGTTCATTTGTCTTCTATCAGACCTTTGTCCTTCTGGCTCCATTTCTACCTCCAACAACAGTCCTATCTTCACCCTGATAGAGTCTGTCAGAAGTGTGTGTGTGTGTGTGTGTGTGTGTGTGTGTGTGTGTGTCAGTTGTTCAGTCCGCCATCTTGATCTGAAGGCTTAAATAAAACACTGTTTTAAATGCACAAAAACCTTAATATGTTTTGAATAGATGTTTGCAGCAGTAGGTTTTTGTGAGTTGACTTAAAGAAATGTATTTAGGAGAAGCCTTTTAGAATTGAAACATTTTTTTCACATATCCACTCCTGAAAATTTCTGAGGGCACATTAGGCCCAGTTGTCCTGTACTGTGCTGAAGCACGATTGCCCCCCCTGACTCTGAATATTCGATTCGAAATTTTGAGTAAACACTTCACATTTGCATCGGATCAACTTGAACCCCTTTGTTGCTTTTGTTTAAAATGATTGACTAGAGGAACGTCGGATTGATTATGCCAGTGGTTCTCAACTGGTGGATCGGGACCCAAAAGTGGGTCACAAAGCTGTTTTCAGTGGGTGGCGATTGTGTGCCTGGAAAATCAAAAAAAAGTGTCAATAAGTCAAAGAAGGGCTTTTTAAACCCATTTGTTTTATTCCAACTCTTTGTTCTGTCACATGTTTTGTACTGTCTGAGATCCAAAGTGCACAATCTTTCATGAAATGAGTCTGATTGGTTAAAAAATAGCAGACATTTGGGTCACAATTCTTTTTGAAGGAGTTGGTAGTGGGTCTCGAAACTAGACCAGTTGAGAACCAATGGATTAGGCTATACATCATGTCCATGTTGCCTATATGCATGTGAATGTCCAAACTCACCATACCATGCCTACCTCTTCCACTGAACCAGTGCCGAAGAAGTAGAGTACTCACAGTGGTCAAACAAACTGGACTTCAGGGATCAAACGTGCAAATGTCTGGCCACCTTTAAAATCTCCCTGAGCCGCTTGTTCACATATGCACCTCACAGCAGGAGACTAGAGAGGAGGCTGCCAGGCAAGACAAGTCGAACGAAAGTCCAGAACTATGCTGACAATGTTTTTTTTTTATCAGTGCTATAAGTAGTTTGACACGTTCACAATATCAACAAAATCAATCTTTATTAATCAATCTTTATTTGTATAGCGCCAATTCATAAGAAATGTTATCTCGAGACACTTTGCTATCTTTGCTTTCACAAAGACCAAACGTTAATCCATCATGAGCACAGCATTTAGCAACATTTGGCAAAGTTACAGTGGTAAGAAAAAAACTTCCATTTAAGAGGCGGAAATCAAAACCAGACTCATGATGAACAGACATTGAGGCGTCTGTGGCTTTATAAGCTCAAGTCCATTTAACATTTATATCTGCCGTAACTGAGCCAAAAAGTGTGTGAGGGGAGATGGACAGAGATGGAGGAAGAGATAAGAGCTCAAGGTGCCAGCTCCCCCGGTAAGCCAATAGCAGTATAACTAGGAGGTGATCCATACCTGCGCCAGCCCTCACTATAAGACTTATCAAAAAGGAAAGTTTTAAGTCCATTCTTAAAAGTGTGCCTGCCTCCCTGACCTCGACTAGATGATTCCAGAGGAGAGGAGCCTGATAACTGAAGGCTTTACCTCCCATAATGAATTTAGAGACTGGTACCACGAGCAGGCCCGCATTCTGGGAGCGTAATGTTCTTAAAGATAAGATGGTCCCTGGTCATTTAGAGCTATGTAAGTGAGAAGAAGATTTTACATTTTATTCTAGATTTTATTGGAAGCCAGTGCAGAGAAACCAATACAGGAGTAATGTGATCAATTTTCCTCGTGCTAGTCGGCACATGTTTGAGTTCAAATTTGTGTTTGGTAGTAAACACCCCTCCTCATGATGCCCCTCTTTTGATCGTATTCCAGATATTCAAATGAAAATGTGGTAAAGTAAAGGTGAAAATGGGTCTGCATTTGGAGAAAACAAATACTTTCACATGTGAACGAAACAGAGACAAACAGAGAGTGTCCACGTCGTGAATAGCAACGGCCGTGCTCGCACCTCATTTTTGGGCAAACAGAGCGTAATGAGAGCGGAGCCATAAAGTTTATTGAGGGGTGGGAGCAGTAAAAAAAAAGGTTTCACCACAGAGACGCAGATATGTTTGTTGAGAAGGCGTGATGAGCTCTGATAGCACGTCAGCCAGAGGATTCACCGCCGGAGTTTGGACATGAGGAGATACTGACATTAGTATGAACGAGAACAAACAGTAGAATAATGTTCTCATACAACATAAAGAACCATGAAGTAACCTGCCTCAGGTCTAAAAACTATTCATAGGGGGATCCATGTAAACTTGAAATACGTTTAAAATGATTTGAATCACAAAACAACAGCTGGAACTGTTTATATTCCAAATAAATAACCCTTTAACGGTAGAATATTAGCTGTTAGATTGAGTGATAGTGATGAGCAAATGGTAGATGAAATGTTTTTTAGATTGAGGCGCTCTGATCAATACTTTGATGACCAGGTGAACTGTTTTTGAGTCTTCAGCTGCAACTGAATTAAAATAAAACATTATTCTATAGCACTTTGAATAATGAAACTTGCTGCGCATGTTTAAAACAAATATATATACATGTGAATTCAACTGTTGGTAAAAGGAGTATTATGACGAGTGCTTTCTGTGCAGTTTTGAGTGTTTATTGGACATTCGGTCATTATTGCATCTTAAAAGGCGTACAGAATGATGGCTTTAAATTCTTAAGGCTAATACAAATCAAAAGGTGTGCACTCCTTATCCTCATCTTGTTATCAATAATATGTCAATAATGCTGAATAAATCCTGCACCAGATAAATAAAAACCTAAATAAGACTAACTGGAGTACAGTGTCATTTTCACAGATACCTGCTGAAATGTGTGGTTCTTACTCTTTGTTCATTTTTAGATTTGTAGTGACATTTCTTGCATTCAAAGGTACAGAGGGTCCGGAGTCGATTCCTTTCGTTTGACTCGTAAACAGCGACTGAATGTAAAACTACTCAGAGTTAAAAGAGTGGTTTTATGACCGAGGCCGTTCAGCTCGGCTCTCTTGTGGAGCACTGACTTTGTTAATGAGGAACAACATCCTCGACTGTTATCACCGAGGTCAAACGTTCACCTGGCAGCGAGTCAGAGGCCGCCGAGGATCAGGGTGTCGAGGACAAGCTGCGAAATAATCGTCGAGCTATTAGACATTTGTTACTATGCAACAAATGTGAACAAACGTTTTTAACTGTCTTCAAATGTAGTCAATCTAATAATAACGTTGTTGAGAGAAATCAGATTTTCCACCTTCACTTCCACGGACGTTAAAGATGTTGTTCCCCGGAAAAAAGGTAGTTATCATGAACAGTATCAATATGAGATGAGATCAGTGAGTCCTTCCTGGAAACTACACGTACACATCCGCACACAAACACACACGCATAGAATCAAACAGGTGCTGTGTGTTTGAACTGAAACTCCTCCAAACAGTGACATCAGTCTGACGGAGGTGGCAGCCATTTCAGGGCACGCTTTCACCTCGCCAAAACAAAATGGTCGACAGTATAACGCAACTGTGACCAACTTGTTCCCTTAGACTTAAGGATGAAGCGTTACGTTTGAACAAAATAAAACCCAAATATTTATTTAGTGTGCGGGATGACCTTTGAGAATTCCTAACTGTAACACCACATGAAATCCATGAAAGATATAAAAATGGGTTTACATCAATCAAAAATGTTTACAGCATCTTAAACAGGTCGAATAATTACTGCAAATAAAAGGAAAAGACAACAAAGTGAGTAAATAACTCTCACCTCTCGCCAGCGTCCATAAACGCTCACAGAATCATCTCTCGCGGCACCTCATCCAGACTTATACAGCCGCGTGTTTATGGGCCATTTTACCATAAACTTTCATTTACAATATACTTACTGCCCCTAATACGCCCCTGTATTGGCCACATTGATTGTGGATAAACAGAGGAGTTGTAAAGGAACGGTAGTGCGCTGTAAAGGACAGATAATACTGAAGACATGACGGGACTACTGGTATTCCCCAGGAAGAGCTCCTGAAACGAAGTGGATTCTTGAGGAGGTTTGGTCTGTGTCGTGAAGGTCGTGTCAGCAGTGGGGCTGCAAAAACACACAAAAAGAAGACTGACCAACTTTCAAGAGTAAGGGACGAAATGATAAAATGATTTATTTTCTTCTTTAATGTCAAAACAAGGAGCAAATGATAAAACAGGAGATTCTTGGTCAGGTTTGGTTTCTTTAGGATCAGAGATATTACATAAATTCACAAAACAGTAGAAAATAAATCACCAAATGAAAATAAAATATAATCAAAAAACAGAATGAGATCTATTTATTTTTGGAAAAATAATGGATACAAAAATGAATTGCAGTTACTGACTGAAGTTTGGTATGGGACATGTGTTTTTCAATGTTAGGGTCCCGACCCCTCTTAGAATTAGGGGTATAAATGGAACAAAATGTAAACTCAAATTGTACTATCTATGTCTATATCGATCTATGTGTTCTTTTTCCTATGCTAATTTTTCATTTGAATAAATTAAAGATATTCAATTTACTGAATATAAAATATCTGCTGTATAACGATAACTGTGACTTCATTATTGTTAAGACATCAATTCATTAAGACTGCAATAATGAATAACAAGGTTATGAACTGTTAACATTAAATACATGCAATACAATAAAATGACATGATTACTGGTGTGTGTTTGTGTGTAATGAAGTGTTCGTTGTTGTACGTCAGTGTGTGTGTGCAGGAGAATCGAGGAGTTTTATGAACGCTGTGATTACTGTCTATCAGTCAGACAGGTTGTTGTCTCAATTACAACTCATCATATAGTCAAGCCCCATTAACCTACATCACACACACACACACACACACACACACACACACACACACACACACACACACACACACACACACACACACTTCAGCTTTGCACGTTATCTGCCAGACAATCTCAATGAAGTGAAGTTCAAATAGTGATCCACAGTTTGTTTAATATTATTATTATTATTTTACTGCCTTAACTGTGAGACAGAGGAACCTCAACAAAGAAACTATTACTTTACTTTTTTCTAAAATACTTTTGAGCCATTTTTATTTTATTGGATAGTACAGCTGAAGAGAGACAGGAAATGTTGGAAGCAGAGCGTGGGGGATGACATGCAGCATACTGTACGGCTGAGGTCGGATTTTGAACCCAACGGGGTGCACAACATAACCCGAGACATTACTATTTCTGAATGTTTACTATAAATTAGTAAACTGATGCCTCAAAAGAAAAGAAAAACAAATGACCTCATAATGTGATACTGAAGTGTATTGTTTTAGATTGTAAGCTCTATATCACAACGTAACAACATGATTTTATGTCTTTACTACATACGGTATAAACTTGTTTTATTTTAAAATGAAACCATTTATGTTATTATAATATACAATTGATTATATTATAACATCAGAATGACAAAAATTTTATGAGTTGACAACAGATGTAGAAATTTGTTATAAATAGCACATTTTCTTTTTTAATTCCTGATAAGTTTGCATGTCATATAATAACCTCAAAGAATGTTGTTCAAGATGTAAAATGTCTCGATATAAAAATCTACTTTTCATTTTGTAAGTCTTCAAATAAAAATTTAAGTTTAATGCTGCACAGCTGTGCAAGATATGAAGAGTATTCTCAGAATGATGAACAAAGAGATGTCAAAAACACTATGGACAGTGGTAAATGAATAATACAAACCTCAGATAATAAAGACACAGAACTGGATCCAAAAAATAATAATGACCAACCAAAGGTTGCTATATTTACCTTTTGTTGAAGGAAGACGTTTGCTGTCAACAGAGCTGTCAATCATGGCACTATACTCCTTTTTATACTCCTGGACACAAATCAGCGTGATGGTCACCTTCACGACAGAGTGAGTATGAGAATAATACATTTGATGATTATTTTAATTTTAAAGTTGTTCAATAAGAAAAGAACTAAATTAAAGTAGTATACAAATTGACAAGAATTACAGATATAGTATCGTGTCAGTGACTGAGGTAACAGGTAGCTTAAATTCAGCAGACGAAATAAAGTGTTCAATGGTGTTTATCTTTCTTTTTTAGTTGTGTGTTAACGATCTGATTTATGTTTGTAATAACTGTTGAATATCTCCCTTTTCTCTCTGAAACTTGTATTTTATGAATGACTGTTTTTATTTATTTCATAATAATCTGAATAGTCAGGTTGACAAACAGGCTAGATATTCGCCTGCACATTTTGCAATACAGTTTGACTAAAAGTGTGAGCGAGCCTTTGTTGCGCTACCTATCATGGAGGAGAAGCCAGACGGAGGTACAGAGAGGAGAACGACTAGATGTTTATTGCTGAAATGCACCATGGGAGTCGTAGTTGACACCTCCCATGAACTTGTAATAGTGTCAGGTTTTCTCTGCGTTGAACTGTTTAACAAAGAATGATTGAAGGGGAAGAGCTTCACTTTGACCTGCTTTTACCTGCGGTTTATAAAACCTTATTCACCTGAAGATAGGTTTTTGTGTGTGTGTGTGTGTGTGTGTGTGTGTGTGTGTGTGTGTGTGTGTGTGTGTGTGTGTGTGTGTGTGTGTGTGTGTGTGTGTCCTACCCGCCTTACCTTTCCCCCTCATTAACCTTCGTCCTACAGATAATATTCATGGTTTCGACACGACATCTCATAACACTGATTCCTCTCCAAGTTCATGTTTGGTTAACAGATGAAGATTTTCTTCTCCTTCTTCTGACGCTGCTGTTCCTGCTTATAGAATAAAACCAAATCAAACCCAAAGATGAGAAGTTGTCTTGAATAATCTTCCTTTATTTTCCGGGGCGCCCTATAATCTTCTCATTAGTCTTAATTTAGTTTAGACACTTTCCAGGGCAAAAAACAAAACCAAAACAAACATAGATATTATGTAATTATACATTTCATTATTTTGGCGCTGGACATTTAGTGCCAGCTAATATTCTTTTGAAAAGACATAAGCATTAAAGATCGAAGAGATTTGTAGTGTCAAAGCTAAAGATGAAGTGAAGTGAAAATTAATACATTTTTCAGTAAAGTTTCAAAAGCAGACGTTACATTTGTTTACCACAGTATAGTTCTCTGCATTATGAGCTTGTTTGAATTACTGGAACTGAAACTGGAACTACAGATTACTCAGATAATATGTATTAATTACGTAGACAGTGCAAAGAATAGGAGGCCAGTTATTATGAAATTAAATCTTTATTATGAACTCTCTATGTGTCTCCTATGACCTGCAGGCTGTGAAACAGAGTCAGTAGTTAACCAATGAAAAAGTAAAAGGAAGTCATGAAGCTCTGTCACCTCTGTCATACTTTTATATGACATGTGTCCTCATTATGACCCCAATTAAAGTTAAAGATTTATGTCAGAGCTCTTTAAACACATGCGCATTAAAGGCATCTGAAAGAAAGAAAGAGTCTTGAAGCCTCTTTCACACATGTGAGAGCATATTCTGAAAGTACTACAACTACCTGATTTTGACCATTATTTTAAAAAGACAATCTTCTAATCACACTACTGAGGATCTTTATAAATTAAACACATTTTCAGATTTGATCTTTATTGAAAACCTAATCCAAATTATGTTACGTTATGTTACTACATCCAGTGAATTATAGAGAAAAACACATTGTTTACAAAGTAATCTGCTGATCAGACTTGATCATCAGAAAAATGTGAAGAACTAATTATCGAAATGTTGACTTCTCTTTAAATACATTTTAAAATGATGAGCTGAAGTTCAAATACACACACACACACACACACACACACACACACACACACACACACACACACACACACACACACACACACACACACACACACACACACACACACACATTAGCTCAATTAAAGCAGCCAATCCATTTGAGTGATGTCGCAAATAAGCTGATTTATGTATGTTTTCTATGTATGATTAGCTCACACACACACACCCCCCCCACACACACACACACCCACCCCCACACACACACACACACACCCACACACACACACACACACACACACACAGCCGCTGTGTCTCAGTAATCCTGCTGTAATCTGACTCTGTGTGTGTGTGTGTCACTGTTTGCTCTGCTATAATCTAATAATTTGACCTCTAACTCGTGCAGCTTGCCGACATTTTTACAGCCACATTAACCCCGGTCTTACTTCACTTTGGAGGACTCACACCTCCTAGCCTCGGCCTAAAAAAATGGTAATTCTCCTACAGCATGCTAACAATGGGGCGGCCACCCCGGCTCTTCCTGCCTCCTGTCTCCCTCCGCCCACTGCCATTGTTTACCCAAAGTGCACCTGTGAATTTTGACGCAAGGAGAGAAACATAGACGGAGGAGGAACAGGACAACAAGAGAGAGGAAGAGGAAGAATAGACTGGTCAAATAAAGAGATGCTAACAGTCATTTTATCATGTTCACTCAGTTACCACTTTGTTGGGCTCTTACATTACTGGGGGGGTGTTCCAAATGTTGTTCTGTGTTAATGATGAGTTTGTTTTGTACTGTCTGTTGTGTTTTTGTTGTTGATTTTGATGTGATTAGATTTATAACGTGGTGTATGGCATCATTTTTACAAGCTAAATAATCAAACCCATAAAAATAAAGATTAAAGAAGAAAGTAACATTTGTTATCTGATGTGACTGAAGCAGGTGCTGGGAAGCTTTGTGTATATGCTAAGAATTAGAATATAAGGCGAGACGGACTGGCTGCCACATATGCATCTCACTAAAAATTTCAGGAAGTTTTCAGGAGTTTTGTGCATGTGCGAAAAATACCATTGGTTAACATTTTCAACAGCAAAGATTCACAAAAGTTATTTTTTTCGGTCAGTCACTACTGACAGGTACGTATATGTGTACTAGACAAGATCAGCAAAGAAATACGATGTGCCACTTTGTCCACAGATAGCACCAGAATCAACACAAACTGAAACCTCCTCACAGGAGCTTTAGCAGTGAAGCAACTTTTCATAGCCCAGCACTATGTACCATACAGATTTTCCAAGTAAAACTTCCTACTGAGGTTACTGATTAGATAGCTTTATTAGAAAGGGGAAATCTTCTTTTCTAATAAATTAAAACATACTACTTTGTGAGAGTATTTCATTAATCATACAATTATTATTCTTTATTGGTAGAACACTGTCAAGTCACATAACGCTTCGGTTACAGCCTGAGAACTTGATTTCACTTAATATTTCATTAAACACACCCCAGGTGAGAATTAAGATCCTTTATTCAGACGAATACATGTCAAAACCCTATGTCTTTCCAAAAATGAAGCTCAAACAAGAAGTGAACATGGTGTTTTATTTGAATTAAACTTTTTTTGCTTTGTAAAAAAAAGTGTCATAAAAACAAACAAGCAGTGTGAACTATTCAGCCAAGATGTGCACTGTAATAATGATGTTTTGTAGGTTTAACTCAATATTAGGGCTTTCACACTTGCAGTACTGTATGAATCTAATTTGAACTTTCTGGAGAACAAAATGTGATAACTGCTTGCAGAAATCTCCTGAAAAACTCCTGATATTTCCAGGAGGAGCTGTATGTGAACGCAAACAGCCAAATGTTTCTCCTGTCAGCCCGCGTCCGCACAGCGGAGAACATGACTGCCACTTTGTGACTTTACTTAGAGTCATGTTAGTCAGATACAGACAGAACATTCAGGATTTCTCCAAAATAAAGGCTGTCAACTTTGTGTACCCGCGTGCTCGTGCTCATGCATGAACTGTACCGTGCTGAAGCACTCGTCTTCCAAGCGCACCAGGGCCAAGGAACAGAGCGATCACTGAGCAAATGAACTGGACTTTAGAGTGGAAGACTTACATCCTATACCGATTGACAGTGTGACCACGCCCTAAGGTGCAGTTTGAGAGATGTCTTCTGATTGAAAGTTTGGATTAGATAAAGCTTTAAAGGTAAAACACTATGAGCAAGGAAGAGATTTTATCTTAGAGAGGAGGTGTGGTTGGTTGTGGTATCTAAATGCATCCAAGCAAGTGACAAAACAAAAACTATTACTTAAATGTTCAATTTCAATCGACCATAACTACTTAGTTTATCTAATGAGAATATAACCCAATAATAAGACATCAAAGCTATTTAGCCTTACTGTGAGCCTCTCTGAACACTTAAAATACTGATTTACTTTAAAATGTATATTGTTGCTGGCATGTGTTAGCTTAATGATAGTCCACTGTCTGAAGTTTGGAAACCTAAAGATGGTGCCTAAGTTCATTGGAAAAAATTCAAAAAGCACAAAATATCCCTTATTTGTTCTTGCCAATTGATCTGAGCTAGAAAATGAATCGAGTGACAGCAAATGGCAAAAAAAAAAAGAAAATCCAAGTAAGTCTGAATTTATTGAAATCAAAAATGTGTTGTTTATATTTAAGATGATTCCTTGCTTTGCATTCAGAAGAAGAAAATCTATTTAAAACCTTATCAAAAATGTTGATAAAACAGTTCTTTTAAATCCGGGTTGCTTCCTGATAAGTTGATGTTTTTTTAAGATATGAACGACAGAAACGTAATTTTTACGACAGAGAGATGAACAGAGCTGGAGGAGGCCACAGGCTGTAAAGGTTTATCAATTTAAACACACACACACACGCACATTATACACACATGTATAGCAGCATACAGTCAGCGAAGTGTCGAGGTTCTCATGACTTTATGGCGTTGATGTGTGTCAATGTATCAATAAACTCTGCAGGTAAACACTAGGACGCCACAGAGACGGGCTGCTCAACGCTTCTTTTAAAAACAATGTTGTCAGCGGTGGGAAAACTGCAGACAGTCAGCGTAACCTCCTGCATCAGCAGTGTTTGCAGCAGAGGCAGTATTTAGACTCTATGTTAAAGTCAGAGAACACGATACTGACAAACAGAAATCGTAATGCAGCCGTTTAATTACCTGTAAGGAGATGGTATCATCCATACACTCTAGCATCGTGCAGCAGTCACAGTATATTAATGTCACTCCAGCTCTCCATTGGCTCGAGGTGAATTCTCCAGAGAATATCCTGCTCATTCGGAATTGCTGTGGAAAAAATACTAGGGGTCTGACAGGAGAAACTCCAGGTGAAGTCTGAGTGAAAGATGTGTTCACACACACAGCTCCTCCGGCGAATATCAGAGGCCGTATTCACGAAGCCTTCTAAGTACTAAGAGTTACTCTAGTGAACAAAATTCTAAGAACGTTCCTAGAAACAGATTTTTCCTCAAAGTTCTGACTGGATCCTTGTAAAGATAAAAGTTATACACAAAGTGTCTGAGCCTTAAAGAGAGCTCCTAAGGTGT